TGCAGTAGGTGGTAGCCTAGGCCTCCCGGCAGCAGAACCAGGCAAGTGAGGCTTCCTTTACCCAGAGGCCACCCCAGCCTCAGAACTTGGACGCGTTTTCTTCCACTGGTATGTGAACTTGAACTCAGTTTGAAGAGTAAGTGTATGCTTTCCAAGCGAACAAAGAATTAGGGGCAGTCCAGGTAGAGCATCAATCAACTCTGCGCCCAGGGTGTTCATTGTGTTTGTTGATACCCCAGGTCAAGGGCTGGGTGAGAGAAGGGGCTGGAGGTGTGAAGAACACGGACATGAAGCTATCCAGTACGTGAGGCATTAGAGTTGGATTTCAAAGAGCCTCAGAGTAGAACCGTCTGGCTGTGGAAATAACTGTGCAAGAGGGAATGCCAAGGGGGTGGGAAGAGCTCAGGACTCTTGAGTTCCCATTTCTAGTGAGGAGCCAGGATGGAGGTCACAGAATTCCTGGTCGCTCAGCTGTGTTGAGTTGAGGAGTCGATAGGAGATGGGCTGGAAATAGAGGAGGAAGTGGCATTGGCAGGGAGCCTGGGAGGGAGGTCTGGGCTGAACTTGAAGCCTGGCACAGCACTTGAAATCCCACTCTCCAGGCAGGGAAAGAGGAAGCTGTGAAAGGAAGAAGAAGAAAACAACCTCTGCCCCAGCCCTGGAGACAGAGGAGACAAGGAGAGACCCTGCCACACCAGCCCCCTCCCAGGTCCAGCAGGAGGCATAGAAGAGGAATTTATGTATAATGTATGTGACTAAATGTGCTGTGTCCTGCGTGTTGCATGATGTGGAGCTCTATAAATACAGCTCATTTATTCCTCACAGAAGCACGATGACACAAGGCCTGCTGTTCTCCCAGATGTCTACAGATCAGGAAACTGAGGCCTAGTGAGGTTAAGGAGGGCTGTTTAGGGCCTACAGAGGCAAGTGGTGGAGCTGGGACTTTGAAAGCAGTCAGTCTGGCTGCAGAGTAGTGTTCCCAGCCCTTGCCCTTGGATGCCTCCAGACAAGGAGAGGATGGGAGAGTAGAAATGGTTATAGGCAGGAGGAGACTGCCCAAGGATGGGCAGGAGTGTCAAAATAAGATGGCATCATCTAGAATCTTTGTCCGCTTTCTTGGGTGTGGTGTGCATTTGTAGTGTGTGTGTTCACGAGTGAGGGTAGAGTGGGGCGCCTGGGTGGCTCAGTCGGTTAAGTGGCCGACTTCGGCTCAGATCATGATCTCACAGTCCGTGAATTCGAGCCCCGCGTCGGGCTCTGTGCTGACAGCTCAGAGCCTGGAGCCTGTTTCAGATTCTGTGTCTCCCTCTCTCTGACCCTCCCCCGTTCATGCTCTGTCTCTCTCTGTCTCAAAAATAAATAAATGTTAAAAAAAAATTTTTTTTTGAAAAGAGTGAGGGTAGAGAGAGCATGGACAGTGAAGAAGAGGGGACTGAGGTGTCGGCTGCTCCAAGGGCCTAGCTGTGAGGAGCAGAAGCACGGAAGTAAGGGTTGGGGGTACTGGGATGCAGGAGTTTACTTGACTAGAAGGGAAATCTCTCCCCTGAGAAGTTGAAGGGAGCCACTTGGGAGGGTTTTGGCTTAGAGGAGTCAGTGCCTGGAAGGTGGTAGAGCCTAGGGTCATTGACTGGAGTGAATTAAGAGGCAGGTTTGTCTGCGCAGATCAGACAGTAGTGAGAGGGGTGGGAAGAGGGAGTGAGAGCATGGACTTGCTGCTGTAGTGGGGATACAGATGGGGCGGATGTGTCTCATACCACCTAGGACTCAAAACCCATCAGTGGCAGGCAGAGAGGGTGGCTGGTAGCATGAGGCAGATTGTATTGAGCTTCCAAGTGAGAGAGGCTGAGGGGCAGGTCCTTGATGAAAGATGCTAAGAAAGGGGCAGTGGGCTGGGCAGCAGTGTACCAGAGGGAGAGGCAGAGAACCAAGATGGCAAGATGGCACCCTGTGTATCTTTATCTGGTTGTTCATCTGTGTTCTTTGTCATATACTTTAATAAACTGGCAAATGTGTACATTCCTTTGAGTTCTGTGAGCCACTCCAACAAATATAGGATCTAAGGAGAGGAGGTCATGGGAATCTTCGATTTGTAGCTAAGTCAGAGAGGAGTTGTGGGTAACTTGGGAACCTGCTGCTTATGGTTGGCATCTGGAGGGATTGGGGCAGTCTTGTGGAACTGAGCCCTTAAGATGTGGGATCTGAGTTGAGTTAAGTTGTTGGACACCCTGCTGGTGTCACAGAGAAGTGTTTGGTATGG